CATCCCTAAGGCTTATGCCCAGAACATCCTTCCTGTCGGAAACCACCAATGAAAATATAAAACTTTAGTATGGGCATTATCCTTCTTTCCCCGATTGCCTCATTCGCTCGTGCACCGCCCTTTGTCCCATGAGATGAATTGCAGTGCCATGGACAACACCACCTTGGGGTAAAGTGCTCCAAACTCGCAGTGCAAAGATCGCCAACTCGGGATTAAGGCACGAATTTCCTGGCCTGCGGTTTTCGCGCTTTGTCAGTAACAGACCAAAACCTTATGGAGCTTCCAGCAAATTTGTTTCTGAGCAAATCTATAACAAAGCATCGTCGCCCAGAAATGAAGTTAACTATCCTGTTAATGGGTTTCTGCCAAGGGCGACGATGGGTGGGCTGCACCGGCGATTCAAACGGTGCAGTTTGAACCTGGGGTTTACTCAACCCCGTCCCTTGGGATTTCTGGCCACCCCTAGTACCGTGGGTCAGTCAAAGTACGGTATTCCGAGGTGCCGCCTGTGAGGGCGCCCTCGAGTTTGGCGGGCTTTGGCGGGGCGGCGGAGGGCGGCTATTTAGGCAGCCCCTCGGTCCCCCCCTTATCTTGTTTCGCTTTGCGCCACTGCGTTGGCACAACCCGCATACCTGTGGACGGGAGTGATCCACCGGACGTAGGTTTCTTCCAGCGCCCGAATTTCGCGCGCCTTTTTGGTGGCCAAGCCAGCGGAGAACGGGAAGACCAAGTACCATTTGGTCATCGACCTTTGGCGGATCAACCGCCATCTCAAGAAGGTCGGTCTCCACTACGAGCGCTTGAAGGATTTCGGGTTTCTTTTGCATAAGAATGACTTTCTGGTGGGATTCGACGTGAAGAATGCTTACCATCACATTCAGATGCGCGCCGATCAAGAGCATTTCTTGCTCTTTCGCATGGGTGGCAAGATTTTCGCTTGTCGGGCGCTGCCTTTTGGCCTCTCTTTGGCCCCCTTTTATTTCACTCATGTCATGCTTGTTGTGGTCCGTTTCTTAAGGACCCCTAATGCATGTCCGGGGGCTGGAACTCGTTTTCGATTTGGTTGTTTAGCGGGCAATGATTCCATTTTGCAGTACTACCTAAAGTACTCGCGGGAGGTTCCCGCGTTAATTTTGGCGTATTTGGACGATTTCATTGCGGCCATGTCCGATCCGGTTCGTTTGCGGGAATGGTCCAGTTTGGTCCAGCGGATTTTCCATGCTCTTGGGATTGAATTCAAGCATTCAAAATGCCAGTGGGAGCCGGTGCAGCAGAAGACTCATTTGGGTGTGGTTATTGACACCACCCAGTGCCAATTTCTGGTGCCTCCGGACAAGGCAGCTGCCATTGCCTCCCGTGCTCGTGCCATTCTCCAGTCTGGTGTGGTAGTGGCGTGGAAGTTGGCTCAATTCTGTGGCTCTGCCATCTCGTTATATTTGGCCTTTCTGCTGGCCCATTTTTTCTTGATGAGCCTTTATGTTTTGTTGAGAGGGAAGCGTTCTTGGCGGGATCGGCTTCCTTTAACCCCCCAAGCCCGCCTGGACCTTTTGGCCTGGACCAACCTTTCCAGGCTTGCTGGCCGGGCTCTCCACCCGGGTTCGTTGCCTTTGCTTGGCACCCTTGTGACGGATGCCAGCCTGACGGGTTGGGGAACGACCTTTCAGCCTTTGGGTCAACCGGCCCCCATGCTTGCAAGGGGTTTTTTGATCGGGACCTTATTCATATTAATGTTCATGAAATGCAGGCCGTGTACTTGGCACTGCTCAGTTTCTTTCCTCGCCAGTACTCCGGGAAGACTTCCCGGCGGGTGCGTTTGTTGGTGGATAACCAGGTGGTCTTGCACTGTATCCTTTCCACGACTACCCGGGCCACCAGTCTCCTGAGGCCCCTCCGCCAGTTGAAGGCCATCTGTACGGCTCGCCGGATTCTCCTGGAGCCGGAGTACATCCCCTCCGCCGAGAATGTACTGCCGGACCGGCTTTCCCGTATACGCGCATATTCCGGGAGGTCGCCCGCAGCTTCGGGGCCTGTTCTGTGGACCGATTTGCGTCCGCCCGGAATGCACTCTGCGCCCGCTTCAACAGTCAGTACTGGGACGTCGGTACGGCAGGAGTGGATGCTTTTCAGCAAGATTGGAGCGGCACCAGGTCCTGGTGCAATCCCCCGTGGAGCCTCCTCGCGAGGCTCATGTCCTTCCTCGCCTTATGGCCAGAGCTGGAGGCGGTGGTGCTGGCGCCGGACTGGCCGAGCGCAGTGTGGTTTCGCCCGCTCTGAGCGATCGCCCGGGCGGAAATATTCATCCCTCGCCAGGCCGACCTTTTTCTCCCCGGCGACTAGAGGTGGCCACCCGGATCCGTTAATAGCGGACAGAGGTTAGTTTCCGTTAATTTTCCGTTAATTAACGGAAAATAACGAAAAAAGACAAAAATTACCCAAAAATAACGGATTTTTGGATTTTTTTGGGATTTTTGGGTTTTATTCATACTTATAGTTTATGGAATTCGCTATTAGAGAGTATGTTTGTATTTTGTTTCAATCTATGCATACTAGATTTTCAACTAGTCGCAGTTGTTGTGTTTTTTTGGGGGTTTTTTCGATTTTTTTGGATTCTTTTTGTTTTTTTCTGAATTTTCTCCCTTTTTCTTTAACGGAATTTAACGGACAGCTGATAAAAATTAACGAACCGGACTTAACGGACCGGATGGCATCTTTGAGTGGCCACCTCTACCGGCGACCCGACTCTCCCGGCGTCTCTGCCCCCTCCGCGGTGGAACCTGCAGGCATTCCATGTGTGCCCGCGGACGCCGCACCATCTGAGACCAAATCGGAGGAAGGCGTGATTCCGCAGGACGCCCCGCCCTCTCTACCGGGGGACCATCCGGGGGATGCCTTGCCTCTGGAGCCGCTGGCGGAGGATGACCCCCTGTACGGCACCGACTTGGACGGTTTGCTCCGCGATGATCGCTGCTGGATGGAGCACCAATTCCTGGCATCCTACACGGACGCCACTCGTCGGACGCTCCAGGCCAAGTTCTTGCCCTTCCAGCGCTTCTGCAAGGCGAACGACCTGGTCGCGCTGCCCGCCCGGCGGGCGTCGATCTACCGATACATTCATTTTCTTCAGGAGGAGGGCAAGGTGGGCGTGCGGTCGTTGCCCCAGTACCTGGCCGCGATTTTGATGATGCATCATGTCGCGGGCCATTTGGGTTTCTCGGCCTTCGACCCGGTCACCCGTATCCTCACCCACGCTTGGCGCCGGGCGGCCCCGAGCCCGGTGCAGCATCGCCGACCGATCCCTGTTTCACTGCTTCTACGTATTCTGGACGTCGGCCTGACCACCGAGGACGGGCCCACCCTTCGGACGGCGTGTGCGGCCCACCTCGACTACATTTTCTTTAACCGGGCCCAGTCGGGCCATTACATCCTGGTCGACGACGTTCGCATCGATTAGGAGGTCGTGGTCTTCCGCGAGCGCAAGACCAAGCTGCGCCCCGGGGAGGAGCCCCGGTTGCGCTATCGCTCGTGGCCTTCTCGCGGCGCTCCCAAAGTCGTCACCCTTTTGCGCCGCTGGACTCGTTTTCGGGATCAAGCCTGGGCGCAAACGGACCAGCAGCCGCGCCATTTCTATCGCCTGCCCGGCGACGCCATTCCTTCGTCCAAGGTGGTGGCCTCCTGGTTTACGTGCCTGCTCGCGCACTTTCCGGACCTGGCCCACGAGCCCTTCACGCATCATGGCCTGCGCGGTGGGGGCGCATCCAGCTGCTTCGCCTTGGAGGTCACGGAGCGGCTCATCCGGGATTGGGGTGGGTGGAAGTCAGACGCCCTATGGTCCTACATAGATATTTTCTGTTTACCCACTGAGTGGGATTTTCGGCTGTTCAGTTGGATGACCATCACCGCCCGCGACCTGCATGAGCAGTTTGGGCACATCTTTTGCCCCGGAGGGGCCTCGCGTTCCCTAGAGTGACTGGGCAAGTTTGACGGACGGGAACCTCGGGAATGTGACTTTGAATGGTTGTTTGTAATTATTGTCATGGGGGTACATGACGGGGTGGGCTCAGGAGACCGGTAAGGCAGAAATGAAGTTAACTATCATGTTAATGGGTTTCTGCCAAGGGCGTCGATGGATGGGCTGCACCGGCGATTCAAACGGTGCAGTTTGAACCTGGGGTTTACTCAACCCCGTCCCTTGGGATTTCTGGCCACCCCTAGTACCGTGGGTCAGTCAAAGTACAGTATTCCGAGGTGCCGCCCGCAAGGGCGCCCTCGAGTTTGGCGGGCTTTGGCGGGGCGGCGGAGGGCGGCTATTTAGGCAGCCCCTCGGTCCCCCTCCTTATCTTGTTTCGCACCCAGCCCTCCCGCCCTGGATAGTGGAGTTCGGGTTAGTTGTGGGATGGAGAGGGAGTTGAGGGAGTGAAGTACGGGAAAGGGAACTGACTCATGGGGAGTCACTCACTGAAGTGGCGCTGAAGTACTAGCGAAGCGAATGGGCAAGTTTGACGGACGGGAACCTCGGGAATGTGACTTTGAATGGTTGTTTGTAATTATCGTCATGGGGGCACATGACGGGGTGGGCTCAGGAGACCGGTAAGGCAGAAATATATTCAAGTTGTTGCTCACCAGAAAAATGTGTAATGCTCAACTGGCCGAACATTTCTAACATGTATGTTGGCCTTTTTGTGCAGTTCTGAATTTTCCGACGATTCGGACGTAGATTCAACGATTCAATACTAGACTTGTGCTCCATGCCATTTGTTAGTGCTGCTCCGTACCACACTGCCTTATGTGTTCGACAAGTAAGCTTGCCATATTCGTACGAGAATTCGCCGCAGTAGAGTGAAGGGCGTGTCCTAACACAAGCGACATTTTGCCATAATATTCCTCCATGATTACAATCCCTAAACATATTTATGCTGCTCTCACGACATTTTGCCATTCACGTCGGAGGAGAATGCCGCCTGACATAGTTCCTCGATCTGAGGTCCGCCTGGCGTATCGGCTCAGGTATGCGATATCTGCTGCAGCGCCGGGCCAAGTAGAGACCTGATTCCAGAGATATCCTGTGACCTGCCATAGAAACAACAAAAAATGATACAGTTGCCCGCGAGTTGTCTCCAAAGGGAGTTCAGCATCCTCTTTCAGGGTGCAGCATATTGGAGAGGCGAAAACATAAGCAACAACACACACTCGAAGCCTTCCGCAAATAGCCATTTTACAGTTCTCTTCAGCCAGTTTTGCTGAATCTATCCTTGCGAAGTAAAGAGAAACGCTTCATTCGTATGTTTTGTAATTCTTCATTGCTCAGGCAAGCTGCTAGTGATTCCGATGGCGGCAGACACCAATATTATGCACAGCAAGGAAGAGCATGGCAGCGCTGCATAATTTGCTATAAATGGAAATACTTTATCATTAAATTATTTCCTCGGTCTGTGCACTTTATCAGCATAAAATATCGCCGCTTTGTGATCTTCATTTCACCAATGGCTCGAAGTGGCCGCAAACAGAGAACGCAGCCGCTCTTGAGCGATATGCTCCAGCATGAAGGGGAGCTAGACTGCAGACTGCAAACAGTACGAGAAGCGCGCCACATAGTGTCAAAATATCGGCATTGATGCGATGTCATTCAAAGGCAATAGTGAATTTCTACATCTTTTTGACAAGACACAAATAGATCCCCTTATTCGAGGTCCACTAAATCCAATTAAAATTGCTCCACAGGCGTCTCCGTCCCTGCAGCAACGTCCTGAACAGAGGCGATTGTTAGCTAGATAGCATTGGCTCACCTACTGACACGTACACAGGCTGGGACACACTTGCTCCGTGGCCGTACATTGCGGCTCCGAGTACCTGCCCACTTCGGCCGATCAATGGCACATTCATCTCTGCAGGTACACCAGCAACAACCAACAGTTAATCGCCGTGCACAGTGCCTGCGAACTGGGACATCAAATATCCAGCTGAAATCTATGAATTACGAACTCTTGCATGAAACCGAAGCATATGGTGAAGTGTATCTGCACATGTGGGTGCTGATCCTAGATGTATTGACACACAGTACAGTTTTTTTCTATGAAGCCATGCACCGCATACAAGCTTCGGCAATGCCGCGGCTCGCATGAGACCCACAGTTCCCCTTTGCGGCCTGCTCTGATATGCAAAGTCCTTCCAGCGCGATTGCTTTGAGAAGTTTACAATGCACAACACAGTTTTGCTGACTTTGCACCTAAGTTAGCGAATGCACTGCAGGTTCCAATTGCATCCATTTAGTTTATTCATTCAACCCATTCATCTTTAACATGAGGAATTTGTTTTCCGCCAAGTTCTGCTCCGCGCACAACGGACCTGCGCGCACGCCAGCGGCGCACACAGCAATGCATTCAGCCGCGTATGGCTTTGCTGACGCATCGGAGTCGGCCCAAAATTTTCTCGGTTTTCATTCTCAAGCATTTCTTCACAGAAGCATTGACCTACTTTCTTGTGCCTTTGCCAACGCTGAACGAAATTCCCCAACCCAAATGAGCTCATCAGAACGGTGCAAAATGAAGAGCACAATATGGCTAATATCAAGCAATCCTATTTCGTCGCCAGCTACATTGTACATGCACGAATTTTGGGAATTGAGCTAGGCTCAAGTATGGGCTGAGTCGCCCTTGAAAGAGCTAGCGCTTCGCCAGTTCAAATGCCTTCCCTGGGCACTCACCGCTCGGCGACGTACTGCTGCCATGAGTATCAATCCTGTTTTTCACCGCCGTTCGCACTGCGCGCTCATCTAGACCGTCCACGTGGAGAAGATTCTTTGCGATGCCGATGGTGGGATATCCAGAAACGACGCCGAGGTGCGACGCCGACCCGCACCGGCGAGGGTGCAAAATTCCGTTCCCATCGACGAATACAGCCTGGATCAAGCACTAGGTTATTCCCATTTGTTTGCCTCGCTTCGCTGCGTCAGGTCACTTTAAGGGCAACGTTGCACAACAGGCAGAAGACAGTATGCGATAGATGGACCATTTTGGGCATAACAGGTACAAGGCTACAATATTGAACACCGAGTCCTGTATTCATTATTCCAAACAAGATTCAAGGAGCAACAGCAATGGAAAACGGTCATCCATACAATGAAGGGGGGCGAGCGGCTATCTTGATTGCATCTATTGAATTTTGGCGAGCTGCATTCGCAATTGCTATACAGCCCACTGCCGTGCAACCAAATGCAAAGCCCGAAATGGTGTGGTCATTTGAGAGCATGTCTGTCTCGCTTCCTGCGCGTCAAGCGCACCTGAGGGTTGTGCTCCGTTGCAGACACCCGCTGCAGCAGTCTCTGGAACGCAGGACATTCGCGAAATCCTAGGTAGCCCGCCATATAAGGCGTTGATAGGTCGAGCGGCTCGAAGTCTTCGTGCACAACTTGGAGCCCCTGCAACAATGTGGCACATTACATCATTGTCGCGTCAATAAACAGAACTGAAAATAATATCAATATAAAAGGCCTGCCATATTGTTCCTAGGAACATGAGAGGGACATACTGATGAGCAGAAGAAACACCCAACAATGGAAACATGCCTGGCTTTTAAATTTGCGATCTGCGTACAGTTCAGCTGCCAGTGCAAACATGTGTGGTCGCAGCTTCTGCCCCCTTATTCTTACTTAGTAATGACTAAGAAGTATGTGGTAATTCAAAGGCACATCCGAATATCCCTTGGGAACGTGCTGCCATTGGGCCCGTAAAATAAAACCAGGATGGCGGACATGGCACAATGTCCGGAAAATGGGGGTGCTCCCAAAACAGTGTGTTGAAACGGTTGAAATGCCCACAACGCCAGACGCGCTGTCAAGGGGAGTGTGAGGTTGTAGGCACTGTCAGTGGGTGGCAGCGAAGAAGGGGTTCCCCTCCCCGTTTAGGCATGTCCCTAGCCCCAACCCCGTGTCACACTCACTTTAGCAGGTTAGGAAGTGCCGAGTGTACCACTTTGCTTGCGTTCCAGTCATTTCGTTTGAGCCCGGGGCAGTCTGAGCACGATTTGGAGGGGCGCGCCCAAGTTGGAAATCTCGACGCCCGCTTCTCATGGCCTTTTGGTTCTCCTACATTGTGGCTCGAAACCCGCAGGGCTTTTCAAAGGGTATGAGGCGCCACTATGGCACAATCGAACAGGGCATGTTGACAAAATAGGATATCAGCTTCACCACTTGGCCCTGTTTTCAGCGATGATACGTTGGTCGTACTTCAACGACTCTACGCCGCTCTGAATGGGCACCAGATACAGGAGATGGACAATTCTTTCTCCCATTGATGGCTCTCTAGGCAAATGTGAGGTGTTGTTAGCAAGGAATTACAACGAGCACAAGTCTGCTCCACTGTGCAATTTTCGCGCTCGTTCTTGATCTTTTGGTCCGTTAACTATATGTACTGACAGCAACGGGTGCTGCAGCCCATGCAAACGGCGCCGGCTTTCTTGGCGACGGTTTTCAATATGCCAGATGCCCCTTGGCGCCTATTCTCAGAAATTGAAACGTTTTGGACATGTTGGAAATCTTGTTCTGAGGCACGTTAAAGGCACTGGGGTATTCGATACTGATCTTCAATGTATGAGCCATGTCTTAATTACATGGCATGTACGGTCCTACGAGGGTCTCAGCGATGGGAAAACAATGGGTCCAACGGGTGTGGCAACAACACTAGCAAAAAAGGGATCAAAGAACACTTTTTCGAACACACATAAAACACATTTCATCAAAGTTCTGCACGCTAAGAACACAAAAGTAACCCAAACCAGTAAACTTTATACACTTTTGGACACGTGTTGTTTGGCCCTTCCTTTCCCAGTGCAAGTGCTGCGACACCCATTTCCATTCCCGTTTGCTTCCATACTTGGGCCCACGCCGGCCTCAACGAACAAAGCACAAGACGAAATTGCCAGGTCTGGCACGTCAAGCATGCAAACACTCCGTATGTGGGGTGCTGGAGGGCGTCTAGAGAAGACAGCAATGGCATCAAGATACGCAACACTCTTGGGCAAGATAGGTGCAAGGCCACAACAGCAAGTAACAGGGCTTCCCCCTAGTTTCCTGAAAGGGTGTTGGGCACATGTGCCCAGTGCAAATTGTGCGCATTTATTCCAGGGGCGAACGGATTCATGGAACTGGAGGCGTGAGTTGATACAGCCTAATTTGTGAACAATATGATATTGTTATGGAGACGGCTTGCAATGTACAAAGGCAGTTCCTCGACATGTTGACAAAGGTAGCGACCGTGATTTACACACGAGTCGATCTTGATGCGTTCCAAATCAACATCAAGAGCGTCGCCGTCATACTCACTGGAGTGCAAATCTGCGTGGCCATTTAGGTACACCGTGCTGCCCACCCACGATGGGCATTTGGCGTCCAGTTGAACTCAATTGAAGTGTTGGGTTGGTTGAAACCAGCATACTGGCGTTCCCTCTAAGGGTGCCTTCCAACGACTCACCGGATAGCTGAGCACCACAAGCGCCGCCACCGCCGGTTCCCTGGCGACAGCATACAAGCGGAGCCGCGGAGTGAGGATGAGCCGTGTGCAGTCAACCAGAAACGACGACCAGTGGTGTGGCTCAAGGTGAGGGGGGCGGTGCACAGGACGACGGATGTCGATCCGGCCGCTCTTCAGGAGGGTAAAACAGTTGGGCAGCAAAAGAGCGACAAGAGCTCGAAAAGCGATGAGCCACGCAAGCAGGGCGCTCTTGCCTGTCGCCGCCTCCGGGCCAGAAGCTGATGTCCAAGCCTCCCACCAACGTCAAACGATTCTGCACACCCGAGAGAGGGGATGAGTGCGACACGGACAACTGGCCCTTGGCGCGGCCTTGCATTGCGCCCATGCAGCCTGGACTTGGCGAGCGGAACAGCCTCAGAACGTGGGGCCGGGACGCCGGGGGGCTGCTGTGCTGCAGCACCCACAAGCACGTGTGGCATTGATAGGATTCGTGGATGTCGCGAGCGGCGTGCTCGATTGATCGGGACGGGAGCGACAGCCGGGACGCGGAGCAGCGGGCGAAGAGAGACGATCGGTAGTCTCTAGTCGTTGGCCGCCGGATTTCGCGGACCTGGGCATCTGCCTAGTGCCTCGTCCCTGGCAATCAGGGCAGAGTCGTGCGCACATCCTCTTGTGAACGACAGTTCGAGATACACATTCCGCACTGCAGAAACATTGTAACAGTCTCCGAGCTCTGCAGATCTAGCGTGCGCATCGCGTAGCACCTGCCTCCCCTCCTCCAGGCTCCAGGGGAGGTCGTCTGTCGTCACAACCTGCTGGCTCAGCGCCACTTGCTGCCTGCGCTGAAAAAAGAGCATAAAAAAGCCAACCAAGTTGCTGTCAAACAGCCGACTCTCTCCCCCCGGTATTCCCCAACGGCACCCTTCTTCAGCCAGGCCTTCCCTCCGACCGGCTCGGCGCCACTCCAGTGGCCAAGCTCCCGGTGCCCCCAAGGGCAGCGGGTGGCCTCCTGGCCCCGGTTAACAGTGCCTGTAGACTCCGATGGGGCAAGGCCAGTGGGCACACTAGATCTGGCGCATCTTGGAGAATTCAACCATCGCTGCCCCACCTCTGCCAATCGGCCTTGAGCCGCTGCTCCTCGCGAGCGTCGTCGTTGCTGGTCCCGGCAGACATCCCTGGACACCCGCCGTGGTCGTGGACGCGCGTGGGCGCCCGGTCTGGCTGCTTCGTCGCTTCAAGGGGAGGTGTGGTTGCCGGCTGGTACATTGGCGTCCCGGGCGGCGGTATTTTGCGTTGGGTTTTGGCCGGTCTGGAACGCGGTGGACTGTTCGGGATGGCCGTGACTGTGTCGGGTTGACTGGACACAAGGGGCGGTGGCCATTGGGTGCGAGAGAATGTCCAGTCAATGTTGCGCCAGGTCCACGCTCTGAACATTGCAAAACGGGTAATATTGCACCAAATCAAGATCGGCAAAATTGCTGGGCATCCTAACTCCAACAGCATCATCTGTGCACAGGACATTGCAGGATTTTCCACAAAAGCGTCCTGGTTATCCAGCTCGTAATGGTGATGTGGCAAAGGCAGATTGTCAGCATGACAAAGGTGCTAGGTTGTACTTTATAAGGTGTGAAACACCCTCCCTTCCAGTCTTCTTATTTCTGCCCTTCCTCACCAAACTTTTTTTCTTCCCTTGACTGAATTCTAGCACTGCCTTGGGTGCACAACCCTATTCTGTGGCTGCAGCATGACGATGCACTCCTACATGTTCTCAGTCATCTAGAAACATCACATTCAACATCATTGGTGTGAGGGGAACACTGTACATTAGGGTAGACGGGACAATCAGCTGTATATTACATCATGGGAAGTCTTGTATAATAGCATGGGCTGCACTATACTATAGTCGGCGGAGTCGGGTTGGGCACCGGGTGACACTTGGTGGTTTTATGAGGTGAACGGGGTGTGTGTTGCACACCGGCGGCAGAGCCGTTCTTGGTCAAGGGAACTGGCCCACAGGTTGGGCTTTGATTATCATAATAGTGTTGGGAAAAGGTGCTGAGTGGGAACCGGTAGACTGTGGGGAGGGGGCATGAGTAGTGAAGTGGGGAGATGGGAAGTGGGTCGGAGGTCTTGGAGCGGAATAGGTAGGAACGAGGGAGTAAGGGCGTATGAGGGAGTTAGTGGGTAGGGACCCTAGGAACGCCGGCGGGCGGACGGGTCCAGGTAGGCCGGCCTAGAGGATTGGTGGAGGAAGGGGTGCCAGAATTTGGGGTGAGGAACGGGGTGAAGATATCATAGGGAGTTCGTGGGATTTCATTCTGGAATGATCGGTCGGGAGGTCAGTGGTGATCGGTGCGAATCTGGATGACAGCGGTGAAGCTGTTCGTCAGCGGGTGTACATTCTAATTCCGGGGTATCGAGAGAGTACCTATAAAAGAATAGCATGCTTTGTAATGAATGCTTGGCTTGGGGTCAAGTCTGTCGTGAGGCCCGGGAGGCCGTTTGAGAGCGCGCACCCCTGCCGGGCATCCGCGAGTGGGCCGGCTGCTGTGCTGCCTATCGAGGGCACCGGCAAATACAGTGGTTCCGACGCCGGGACCTGACTCGTGAGGACGCCGGAGGGGGTGCGGTTGGAGGAGCGATCGGCGGCAGGAGGCCGGCCGAGGAGCGATCGGCGGCAGGAGGCCGGCCGAAGGGTGACCGGTGGCGGGAGGCCAACCGGGAGAACGTGATTGGGAGCAGCAGGGAGTATGAGATTGCGTCCGCGATTCTTTGCGGGGGATGGGTCGCAGGAAGATGTGGAGGGATGGCTATTGCATTTTGAGGGGATCTGCGTCGCGGGTGGCGTGAACAACGATGCACAGAAAATCGCCTTGCTAACGGTTAGCACTTCGGG